GGGATGGTCTCCCTCACCTGCTTTCCACCGACTCCACTGTCTCCCGCACCTTTTCTGCGTGGACGCCGCCCTCCTCCAGCAGCTTCCGCCCGGTGTCCGTGAGCGCCCGGACGCGCTCGGTGCCGGTGTCCAGCGCGGCCAGGAACTCCTCCAGCCTCCTCACGGCCGCCTCCGCGCCCGGCACCGTGCCCGGCATCTCCGTGTGAGCCAGCGTGTGCTCCTGCGGGTCGGGACGGGGATTGGCACCGGGACCAGGACGGTACCGGAGCCCCGGGATTCAGCAGAACACCCCGGATCCCCTCACCTGCTTCCCCAGCGTCCCCTCCACCTGCTTGGCGTCCCGCAGGAACACGTGGAAGGCGACAGCCTGGGCCAGGAGCCGCTGCCGCTTCTCCCACACCCGGCCCAGCTCTTCCCAGTCCGCATCCAGCGCCTCCAGGCGCTGCAGCAGGGACAGGCTCTGCGGGTCCGCCTGTCCCCGCGTCACCTCCCGGCCGGCGGCGCGGGCGCTCCGGTAATCGGCGCCGTAGTGCGAGATCTCGGTGCGGAGACTCTCGTGCTGCCGCAGGGAGCCCTCGGCCTCGGCCAGGGACGCGGGGACATCCTCGGAGCCCGCGGCCGCGCGGGTGCGGGACAGCCAGGCCTGGAGCGCCGCCAGGTCCCGCAGGAAGCCCTGGAGCCGCCGCGCCTGCCCCAGGGACTCCTCGCGGCTCCGGTGGCACCGGCGCAGCGCGTCCCACTCGGCCTCCAGCCCCGCCAGCCCCTCGCGGATCTCGGGCGCTCGCTCCGGCTGCTCCCCCTGCAGCTTCTCGGCCTCGGCCCGCAGCTCCCGCAGCTTTCCCTGGATGGCGTCCAGGTCGCGCCCCATCCCCGACAGCTTCCCCTGCAGCGCCGTGATCCCCGCCAGGTCCCGGCCCAGCGCCCGCGTGGCCTCGATCGCTGCTGTCTTCTCCCGCATCCAGCCCCGCGTCTCGTGGCATTCCAGGCGGAAATTGTGGATGTTCAGCGCCGCGGTCAGCGCCACCTTCTTGCGCTCGGCCAGCGCCCGGAACCGCTCCCACCTGGCACGGGCGGGATCGGGGCGCGGTGGGACAGAGCCCGGGGAGAGAATCTGGCCCAAAGAATTCATCCCTGGAGTGTCCCAGCCCGGGGAATCCATCCCCGGAGTGTCCCAGTCTGGGGAATCCATCCCCGGAGTGTCCCAGTCTGGGGAATCCATCCCTGGAGCGTCCCAGCCCGGAGAATCCATCCCCGGAATGTCCCAGCCCAGAGAATCCATCCCTGGAGTGTCCCAGCCCGGGGAATCCATCCCTGGAGTGTCCCAGTCTGGGGAATCCATCCCTGGAGCGTCCCAGCCCAGAGAATCCACCCCTGGAGCGTCCCAGCCCAGAGAATCGACCCCCGGAGTGTCCCAGTCTGGGGAATCCATCCCTGGAGTGTCCCAGCCCCGAAAATCCATCCATGGAGTGTCCCAGCCCGGAGAATCCATCCACGGAATGTCCCAGTCTGGGGAATCCATTCCTGGAGTGTCCCAGCCCGGGGAATCCATCCCTGGAGTGTCCCAGCCCGGAGAATCCATCCCTGGAGTGTCCCAGCCCAGAGAATCCAAGAGCATCCCGGCGGGGAAAACCCCTCCCTGCGTCCCTGGAGCATCCCTGACTGCCCGGAGAACCCATCCCTGCCTGGAACACTTCCCTGGGCGCCTGGAAAATCCATCCCTGCCCGGACCCACCCCCAATCCCTGCCCGGAATGGCCCCGCCGGGGCCGCCCCCACCTGTCCCGGAGCTGCTCCCAGGTCTCCCGGGCGCTCTCCCGGTTCCTGTCCCCGGATCCCTGCAGCTCCTGCGTGACGCGGCCCACGGAGGCCACGCGCGCCGCCAGCGCCGCCAGCTCCGGCTCCAGCGTCTCGAACCTGCGGGAGCGCCGGGAATGACCGAGAATTCCAGGAATGCTGAGCCGGAGCTGGGAATTCAGGGAAAACCTCAGCAACACCCCAGAGGTGGCAAGCCACAAATCCTGGGAAT